AACTAGTTTTAATTAACAAAGGACTTGTATCGCTGAAGTTCCTCGGAAAGAATTTATACCGGAAATTAAGAGACGAGCAGATACGCAACATTATGTTATATATGAATTTTTAAAGTTCACAGTTACAAATATTGAAATCTTTAAGACAAATAGTCATTCTGCTTCAAGAAACTAACTGTAAAACAAGTTAATTAAAAATGTATCTACACACTTATAAAATTCATTGTAATAATCTAACATAAAATGTCTACTTGTATGTTAACCTACAATTTATAAGTTAGTTTACCATGAGATCACTGTTAAAATAAAAAAAAAATTAAATATTTGGTAAACACCTGATTACACCCACACAGTTGTGGGGAACTTAAATAAGATGCAAAATGTTACCTATATACTTGTACACCTTGTTTCATTATCAATACTACCATCTACTTCATTACTCTGTTTCAAAGATGGTTTAAAAAAACGTAGTTGAGCAAGGGTTATGCTGGATCTCAAAGACTTTCGCACTTCCTGAATTACTTCTGTTCTAAGTTTCTCTAGCATTTCACCCGATATCATATTCTGATTAGATATCACGGTATTTAGAGTTCTGTGTTCTTGTGCTTGGAGGTAACGATGTTTTAACTGAATAATCAAATCCTAAGCAAAAGAACAAAATATAGATAGCAGTCAAAAATTGTGAACAACCACACTCTAATTATAAAATATACACTAATAATGGATCACTCTTATATTGGAAAATACAGCAGAATGGATTCAAATCCAGATATATATTAAATTTACAAACTCATTCAAACAAAACGAATTTCTTTTTTCTCATTAACAAAATGATACATATCACTATATATGAAGAATTAATAACAACAATTTTCAAAATTCAAAATACAGGAATTAACAAAAGAAAGAGATCGCTTTCTGTAAGATTCTATGAGAAATATAGTAAAAACAGAGCAATAAAAACTGTACCTTATAGTCTTTTTGTGTCTGACATTCACCCTCTTCTTCACCACAATTCTCAAAAAAACAGCAATTCTGTAAAAAAAAATAACCATTCCTTGAGAACATTTAGTTTTTGATGTAGAAATAATATAATTTTAATAGATGTTGATTTAGAAAAATGAAAAGCTGGAAACATTTAAAATTTGGTAAATGTATATAGCATATATGATATATGATTAGGTAGATAACATCATATGGCAGTCCCCAAAAGATATAAATATTTACTGAATGATGATAAAAAAATCTATAAGTCTTCAAGACAAACTTGAATCCACAAAAATAGCTTACCAAACTCTTTTTTTTTTCTGTAGTTTCACTGGTATTATATTTACATACAGAATACTGAAACTGTTAAAGAATCATTAGCATGATAGGTATATACAGAATATCGAAACCATTACAGATTCACTAGTATGACAGGTACATATAGAATAGTGAAAGTGTTACACATTCTTTAGTATTATAGGTTCATACAAAATAATGAAACTGTTATAGATTCACTAGTATGATAGGTACATACAGAATAATGAATCTGTTACAGATTCATTTGCATAATAGGTACATACAGAAGAATGAAAACATTACAGATTCATTAGTACTATAGGTACATACAGAATAATAAAACCATTACAGATTCACTAGTAAGATAGGTACACAGAGAATAATGAAACCATTATAGATTCAGTAGTATTATACGTACGTATAGAATAATGAAAACATTACAAATTAAGTACTATTAGAGCTGTGTATAGAATATTGAAACCATTACAGATTCACTAGTATAACAGCTACGTATAGAATACTGAAACTGTTACATATTCACTAGCATGATAGGTACATACAGAATACTGAAACTGTTACAGATTCATTAGAATAACAGGTACATACAGAAAACTGAAAGTGTTACAGATTCATTAGTATAATAGGTGTATACAAAACATTGAAACTGTTATAGGTTTACTAGTATGATAGGTACCTACAGAATAATGAAACTATTATAGGTTCACCAGTATAATAGGTACATACAGCATACTAAAACTGTTATATATTCACAAGAATGATAGGTACATAGAAAAAATCGAAACTGTTACAGATTTACTAGTAGGATAAGCGAATACAGAATAGTGAACTGTTACAGATTCACTGGTAGGATAAGCGCATACAGAATGCTGAAACTTACAGATTCATTAGCATAATAGGTTCATACAGAATAAAGAAAATGTTACACATTCTTTAGTATTGTAGGTTCATACAAAATAATGAAACTGGTACAGATTAATGTACCTATGATTAGCATAATAGGTACATACAGAATAGTGAAAAAGTTACAGGTTCATTAGTATTATAGGTGTATACAGAACATTGAAACCATTATAGGTTTACTAGTATGATAATCACCTACAGAATAATGAAAGCATTAGAGATTCAATAGTATGATACATACATTCCGAATTCTTAAACCGTGATATATTAACAACTATGATATGTACATACAGAATAATGAAATCCTTACAGATTCAATAGTATGATAGGTATGTACAAAATAATGAAACTATTACAGATTCACTAGGGTGATAGGTATGTACATAATCATGAAAATGTTACAGATTCAGTAGTAGGATAAGCGCATACGGAATACTGAAACTGTTACAGGTGTTGAGAAAGAGCATGTACTGTAATCTTAATATACCTTTTAGGTAACTGAAATGGTCATTTGGGACCAATGAAACAAAGCGACTTTAAGAATCCTGAGAGTACTGGAGACTCAAAAAATATGTAGTCATGAAAATCGAATGGCAGTCGATAAGGCTGTCTTAAACAGGGCGACTGTAGAAGATGCAACAACCTATGACAAAAAGCCAGGTCAAAAAACGAGTTATGGTTGGCACTTCTGCTCTAAATGGGTTTAACCTCCTCTCAATACACCATTGCTGATATGTGTGCCACTTACGTAATACGTGTTCATCTCGGACTAAGCAAAAACTGTGACAGATACATGGCAACCTCAGAAATTAAACCCCGATGCATAATCTCCATATCTGAAGCTTGAGCTTCTGGATAGCTGGGTGCACCAAGGTATATCATAGCTGCCTCCACAGAGATAGCATAAGAAGAAGTGAAATAGGTGGTCACTCAGAAATGTACTGTGTAGCAGTCAATCTGGTGCTAGCAACAGGACAATGGGTTGGAACAAGTCATGTTTAGTACCCTGCATAACATACGAAGTGGACACAAGGTCTGAAGTTGTAATCCTGTCTTGTTCTGATGGAATGCAACCATTGCCAAAGCACTAAGATGAGGTACTGGAGACCAAATTGCCAGTGGTTGTGTGATCCAATGAGAGGCAAATCCACCAATCAGAGTTGCACAGTTAGAGCCAATCCAACAGAAGCTTGTGATGTAACATCTATCCTGTCGGGAGAATCAATTAGGATTGAGACAACTGACCTGCTACCACAAGCATCGCCCATAGAAAATGGCAAGCTAGTAGGGTGATAAGATAGGAATGATCCCGAGAAAGGAGGTCCAAGATTCGAAAACAGAACCCCAGACCAATTTTCCCTTGACAGAAAATGCAAGACACCACCATGGAATTGTCGGAGTGAAACCTGATGACTTTCCCCTTACTGAGCCCAGTTCATGAGACATTGGCTGTTGAACAGCAAGAAGGTCTAAAACACTACATAGGAAAGCCTCGTCGTTCATGCATAGAACCTGGAATTCCTGGCCATTGAAATATGCACTCCATCCCTGAAGAGACTAATTTCTGGACGAGGTGGCAGCAGACGAACCCATATCTTAGTATTATTTCAATTTAACCTCCCCCCCCTGAGATAAAAGAGAATGATCCTGAATAAGGAAACTGGGGAATATAGAGTAATGCTGTTCATGATCCGTTAGTCACATAAAAAACATTGAAAGGATCTCTTGTGTGCTCATCTCAAAGGAATGGGGATTCGAGTGATGCTCATATACCCAAAAGAGAAAGAACAATCCATGCAATGGGAGTAGGAGAGGTGAGAAAGAGTCGGACTTCCTGTTCTATAGCTTGGAACCGGATGGGAGTCAGCTGAGCCCAACTGAGATATGTGATGAAAAAATACCTAAACCGGCGATATATTGTGTTGGAGCGAGAAAAGATGACTCAGCTCTGATAATGAAGCCTGGTCTGGCATGGCCAGGTGGTTAAGGTGCTCAACTCGCAATCTGCGGGTCGCGGGTTCGAATCCCTATGACATCAAACATGCTCGCCCTTCTAGCCGTGAGGGAGTTATAAGGTGATGGTCAATCCCACTATTCGTTGGTAAAAGAGTAGCCCAAGAGTTGGTGGTAATGACTAGCTGCCTTCATTCTAGTCTTACGCTGCTAAATTAGGGACAGTTAGCGCAGATAGCACTCGTGTAGCTTTGTGCGAAATTCATAACAAACAAACAAACAACAATGAAGCTTTCCTTGGTTGTTTCTGAAAATAGACTTCGAGTGTGATGTTCTGCCAATTGATGAAATGGTGCCAGCAGTAACCAGAGTCCACGGAATAGTGTGTGCACAAGCCTATGGAAAGGAGGTGACGAGAAAAAACACGAACAACATCTAACTTGAACATTCACAATCCTATTAAAAAATACTTAATCAGAGTGAGTTATGACTCACGTGTGAACCATGAAGGATCTTGAAAATTGATATAGACGAGAAAGATCGATGACTGGACGCCAATTTCTTGTCTTCTTGAGCTCAACAAACATATGGGAATCAAACAACCTCTGAAAGACCTGGCATGGATCCATGGTTAAGGTTTACTACACATCCAGGAATTCTTGGAGCCGAGCCCCCACAGACTCCAAAGGCATACAGTAGTCACAAACGCTGCTGGTAGCATTCTGACTGAGTGGCAGAACTCTTGGATATGTACAGAATTGTTTTCTGGGTATTAATAGACCGAGAGGCTGATGTCGGGGGTTTGGACCCTTGAATAGGGGTGGAACTGTAACCTGCTCTAGGAGCCAAGGAAAGTTGAAACGCCAGTGACAACAGGGGTAAATGTAAAAGCTGACAATCAAACCAATGTGGATGCTAACAATGGTCCCAACTCGTCATCATTGGACGTGGTGATCCTGAGAGTATACCAACAAAGTTTAGTGGACTATAATTCGGTACCGTATGCAAGGTGAAACGAATACTAGAAACTTGTGATCTATTCAGCTTAACTACAGACTCCACTCTAGAACCCCAAATTCCCAAAAAACAGATATGTTCTTTGAGAGTCAGAATATTCTTCCACCTGGAGTTGGTAGGCTAAATCACGCAGTTTCGACAATTGTGGCAGACATGCCAAAGTTGTCCCTTCACGTAACTGTGGAGTAAACCTCCTTACATGACCTTGCATATCAGTGGATGGAGGGAGAACTAAGTATTCTTTCCCAGCCCTTTCATCCATCTGGCTCAAAAGCAATTGGAGAAAGACCGAAAACATAACATACTCAAAGGAGCCCGAGGCAGCTGATCCCAAAGTGGCCTCATGAGAAGCTAACAAAATAAAGAAAGGCACATGAAAAGGAGAATGTCCAGGATTGCCCTCAATTGCAGAATCAGAGCCCCAGGAGGAATACCACTGAACCGAATATATGTCTCCATCTCACTAGGAATAAGATCACTGACAGTGACTCCCCCTCCTCGATTGTTGAGCAATGCAAGATATCAGAGGTAGGAGAAGAGACACTTGGTATGTCTCTGTGCCGGAAATAATAAACTGGGAAGTCAATGCAAAACGAATTTTTTTTTAAATAAAAATCAACTACATAACACAAAGAATGCTCAAATTATATCCAACGACCATGGTACAGAGAAACCCATTATTGAATGCTTTGTCGAGAAAATGATAGTATTATCTCAATGAGATGCTTATATATATAGTACCAGGATAAAGGACGTATTGACATATGGAAGTACTTTAGTGATTTTAGTACTTAGATTATGATATTACCCCAGAGCAATGCTTAGATGGGCAAAGGAAGGAAACCTTAGCAGTCGAGTAATAGCTGTAATGTGAGAGGAGGTAAGTATGGTTTGGAAGTCCTTTAGTGACTCCGGTACTCACACTATGATATTACCCCAGAGTTTTTTTCCCAGATGTTGGTAGGAGTGGCACCAATCTACATGGGAGCCTACTCATAATACCAGCTTTGCTTTGATGATCTAGTTGGAGTGGTAATGGACCTTCTGTTTTATCAATATAGATTCAATACATTGTTCATGGAAGAGGGTCCACTATCTCCTCATAATTAAGAATGCGGAGTGGTCCCATTCTGGGTCCTTGATTGAGCACAGTTTGTTCCACATCCTCTTCAAAATTCTAGGGACAATAAGAATTTGCCTTGCCCATTCAGTTGGGGAGTGAATATGGGTGTTCATAATTCCAAACCAGATTAGTTATGTTTCTTCAGGTTGAGTATGGCATGCAGGACCCCATCATTCTGATGGTCCAATTGACCTAGCCACCAACGTGGGATATATGGACCATGGCCCTGTAATTCCAAACCCAAGCAGTGGAACTTTGGCTGTCTGATTGGGGCCTGGCCAATAGTGATGATAGATCATGTAAAATTCCACCCACAGTACATGAATTAAGTTTTGGGTGAAGAGCATATATGTTCTGGATGTAGTGTGATTCCACCACTAGAGTGCCAATCTTGTATTGGCACACTCATGATCTATGCAGATGCTTTCTCTATGGATAATGTCCTCATCGGCCTCCTCTACATTATCAATGTGGGATTCTAGCTGAAGTGTGAGAAGGGGTAAGTATGTTTTGGATTGAAAATGTATTTCCAATAACACTCACACTCCCCTGTCCTTCCCCACTAAGAGCCGTTGTTAGAGACTGCATAATGGGTCAATCTAGAAATGGTGAAGATATTATCTGAATGAGGTGCTTATATACAATACCAGCATAGAGAGCACATTGACATAGGTGTAGAGCATCACGTGACAGATATTACGAAGGGTAATTAAGTGGGGGAATGAAAGAATGAAGCATGCAAGAAGAATTAAGGCCAATACTTAAATGGGCAAAGGAAGAAAACTCTAATAGTTGAGTAGTAGCTGTAGTGAGAGAGAATGTAAGTATATTTTATAATTCCATATCTTGAATGAATCTCCTGTTTGATAGAATTAACTGATATAGCTCAAAGAGTATTTGCAATTAACTTGAAAATAATGCATTACTACGGCATGAAAGATACAAATACACCTGCAGCTTCAAAATACAGAAATTATGTTGCATTGTTAAAACCTGTTTTCTAGGTTTCCTAATTTCAAAACAACATTACTTGGGAAAACACAAATTGCTTTTTAACAATTATTGTAATACATTACCCTTCCCACAACCCTACTAATTTAAAAACCTCTAGCAAAACATTAACTGGAAGATAGAACAATACATATTTTTTACTGACACTTTCATAAACCTGTCTTAAAAAAAATCATGGAAAACATTAATTTGAAAAACATAGATTTTGCAAATCAGATACTATATTGATTATTACTGAAGTATAAGATCAAATTTGAATAAAATCAAAATAACAATGTTTTCTTACCCTTTTATAAACACCGCCTTTTGTGTTCTGGCTTGAAAAGTTTTTCTTCCAAAAACAGTCTCTGAGCTTTTTACCCAAATTCACTAGTTTCTGAATACGTGGAATTAAGTTTAAAGGTGAAGGAACTGCACTTCTACATGCAAAGTATGCCAACCACAGAGCAGATCTTGCAAATTTCCACTCTGTGTCCGAGTTTTCCTACAGAAAACAATGGTTTATTCCAAATTTGCTTTTAAAAGTTTATGTAAATAAAATTAAATGATAAAGTAAACATTGCTTTTACATCACATGAAAACAGTTTGGATTTTTGAGAGTGACAGAATATGATACACTAGTGTATTCTGTGGCTATATACTTGTCGAAACGTTGTACATTTGCTGTTGTATTAAAGTTTTCTTCATTACCCATTCAAGCCGTCTCCAGCCATTATTAATCATACTTGTAGTATTTTCAGGTAAAATCAATTTCTTACAAGTATCATATAAGTAATCTTACTAATAACAGCTGATTTGCTGAAGAATAAGGAGAGTATTCTGTGTTTGATTAACTTGACTTTTTGTTTGAAATATGGACAAATATAAATAAATAAATGATCAAAATATTTTATTATAAAAAACAAAACTAAAAACTAAACACATGCAGTGTGTGTACTTGTGAGATGAAATGTCAGTTGCTTCTAGTTCTACTGGTGTGGTTAAGCTCCACAGCTTTCTTTCCCTCACAATTAATCTCTGTATAACTGCAACATGATTTTCTTGAAGAATGCCTTCACCAAACAATCTCCTAATAGAAGAAAACGCAACAGGTAAACTCACTTTCTTTGTCATGCTTACAGCGTCAGCACTGGCCTGTTTTCTCACTACACTGATTAGTTGTTCCATTTGGATAATATCTACTAAACCAGCAAAAAATATTTTCAACCTGGCTGCTATATCCTCGCTGGTAGAATATATACTAGCTACTACAGAGAGTAAAGGTAAATTAGGTGGAAAATATAATATGCCTAAATATATAACACACTTAATTCTTTCTCTTTTTCAGGTTTGTCCTCAAACTGAGAGTTAAATATAATTTTAAACCATTAACCTTTAAACTCTTATCATGTTCAAGGAGCATGTTAACTCTATTCTTTAGAACACATATGTACCTCATGAATGACACAAACCCTTTAACAAAGAATTATAGTAAACTACAAAAGTTAACATTTTCATAAATCGAAAATGAATTTCCAATCACATTAGATCGTCAAAAATTTAAGTTTAGTTTTTTAATTAAAAAAACCACAACAACTTATACATCAAAGC